ACTCTTATTTCGATGAAGTCCTTTTATTTACTCGTAACAAGCCAATCTCATTGTACTGATGAACAAAACATACCACGTCAACCACTTCGATATTTTATTGTACCGGAAAGCTTCGAAATAAACGTAATAAGTAATCTCTATGATTAAAACATTGCGCCAAAGGAATATATCGATATTTACAGTGTACTAAAACCAATATTATATAGTAATGACCTACCGTAAGTTTATTCCCTATCGAATTCAGGCTAAGCATTAAATATTATTATCGTAAAATGAAACACAAACAAGAAAATTTTTCGTATTTTTCTTGTCCCCTATAAATTACGTAGGTACATTATCATTGAAGAAATCACGTTTTATTTTCCTTGTGAGTAATCCGATTACGTACCTACTTGTATGTATTCTCTACAAATAGCTCCAATTGATTTCTCTATTTTCGGATCTCTCGTTTTAAGAGCCTCTTTAGAGTCCGTATATGGAGCCCTTCTAACGTTTTATTTCGTAAATGAAATTGCCTTTGTGTTGTAACGACTGTTCATATTAAATGAATGTTGTGCTGCATTGGAAAAAATTCAAAAAATCATGATTTAGAGACTTTCAAGTCCAAGACGATAAGACTAAATGCATAACTTATTAGATCATTGTGTGTAAATATTAAGGTTTTGTTCGGTTTTCAAATCAACTATTGGTTAGGAATGCGGTAAAGCACGATAGTTTCGGGCGGCATGCGGCCTGGCACGCCACTCTTTACGTAACTGCAGAATTGATTTCTACTAGCTATTAACTTCGGTAAAGTGTTCACGTCTTCTACCACCTCTTAAACACGCAAATCATAAAATCGACAAAACTGATGAGAGTCGAATTAAATTTTCTACCGGCACGCATAGTCATGAATCCCATTAGTAATCACCACTCATGTTCCGTCTTCCCAAGACTGTTTTATATTTCTTTGAAACTACGAATAGCGTTTTCAACAAGTTAGAGATTTAACCCATTTGAAACATTGGAAATGTTTTTACATTTTTTGCATAATGGAGGTAACATTGTAAGTTAACCGAGCGTCAGGCAACTCACGATACGAATGCTATTTACACAGAATACAGTGTGGACCATTAACTGTTGAAGTAATTAATATTACTTTGTTAATTAAAAATAAAAAATTAACTGGAACTGGAATTAATTGGACAGTCGAACTCTAAATGCGCCAAAAGTTGGTGCATGTTCGATAATCAGTTTATATGCTGCAAATCAAATAGTATATAGGGCAGTCCTACAAATATAAAATGTACTCAAGATAAACGTAGCATAATGTATAAAAATATAGCAGCGTTGTTTAGGAAAATTTTTGATTGGAAGTGGAACATTAAATGTATCTCTACGGTAGATTCTTTATAACAATTGTCTAGGAGTTCATTGCACATTAAAGTGAGAGTTTTCTATAACATGTTTTACACGTCGAAATAATTGGAAATCTTACGATGTTTTGTTTATCGGGGAAAAAGTTGCAGTTCAAAATTATTCTTGATTTTTGAAAAACTATAGTTTGAGTTCTCATGCGTTCCCAGATCCCCAGATGCAAAATTAAGAAGACCATAAGACCAGAATTTTCGGCACTCCCTTCGTTCAACGGAACACTGCATGCTTTTCTCGATTTTGAAACGTTGCCGAGTTTACCTTATTTCTGTGTTCTCGTAGTATAAAGTTAGCTTAGAATCTGGGGGTTAAGCACACTACAGAAGGAAATTTACAACACATCATACGGGGTGTTTACAAATAAGTTTTTGACGTTACCACTTGCGTATTTTCTTATACATCATTCCCTATTTGAAAGGCTCAAAACGTTGGGGTCACACAAAGCTGGAGTCAGAGCTGGTAATAACGCTGCCACTTCTTCTTCAATAGGGAGGTCATCATCCACTGGTCACTTGGATCCGCTGATATCGGCGCCTCTTATGGTTTGTACAAACTTCAATTATGACAGGGGAAATATTTTTTTTAATTTCGTAGGGTCCAGAATACGTTGGGGAAAGCTTGATCATTATATAAAGAGTATGATTGCGTCAATAAATCTTCTGGCCTACGACTATCACGAGACAATAATTGTCGCATGTCTTCAAAACTTTTTCATTTTCTCTGCCTGCTCGTACGGAATTATCGAATTACGAAGTTATCCACCTGGACCGCCCTCAAAAGTATCTGAGCCGTTAAAAGTTGCCTTTCAAAATTTAGGAAAGCCGGAACGAACTTGGTGGACATATTCTGCATGGAATAAATGGCAAATGGTATAGCACCTAAATTATTAACGCCAATAACTTTGTTCGCTCGTTTGACCGGATCAGCTTGTGGAGAGAAAGGTGGTATCAACCTGCGCTTAATACCCCGGTATCGTAGCATCTCCTGGAATTGCCGACGAATTGTGTGCCATTGTCCAACACTCTCACACCTATAAATTATTTGTTCCCGAAATAGATTAATTATTACTGGAGCAGTAGCTTTCCGTATGGCCTTCATTTCGATCCATTTTGTAAACCTGTCTTGAAACTCAATTGCGAAACCATTACTTGATCTCGGAAATGCCCCTATGAGGTCCATACTGACTACCTCCCAGGATTGATTTGCCTTGGAGAACTATGTACATACATCTCGCCCATCGGAGATTGGGTGGAACTTTTGAATGTAAGGCAATTATCGCATCTTTTTACATATCTTATCACATCTTTAGTACATCCTGGCCAATAATACCTTTGAAATATTCGTGCTATTGGTTTATATATCCAGCGTCGGGAACATCATTACATTCCTTGAGGATCCTAATCCGGTTTTTAATGGGTACACACGTTACCCTTCTAGGTACCCCTTCAGTTTTTCCACCACCCAGACGAATGCAAGGCATTCTTGTTCGATGGTGAAAAAGTTTATTTCTGCAGGGTTTAGTGCTCTGATTCCTGTTATTGAGTTAATACCGCTTCTAATCCGATAGAACTAGCATCCGTTTGCAGACCACATTTCTGGTTGAAACTGGGGCAAGTCAGGATTCGTGATGTGCTAAGTTTCCCTTTAAATTTCTGGAAATTTTCCTTTGGACCCAATTGAATTTGCACCATTTTTTTAGGAGACTGGTCAGTGGGTAGATCAGTTGTGAAACTTGAGGGATGAGCGATGCCATTCACCTCCTGGTGAAGAATCTTCGAACTGCTTTTACTGTTTGTGGTGGTTCCATCTCTACTGTAGCCTCGACTTTTTCTGGATCTGGTTTTATACCATCACTTCCAACTAAATGACCTTAGTACGTCAGCCCTGTCGTAGCAAAAATGCATTTATCTTCCTGAATTGAAGCCCATGACAATAACAATGACGTCGTCAAGATAAGCAAACGTCTTGTCATTCACCTCTGGTCTGGTCTAAATGTCTTCGGAATGCGGTTGGTGCAGAGTATAGTTCAAATGGTAAAACTTTGACCTGGGATAATCTCCCCCCAGGGACCGTAAAGGCCTAAACCCGGATTTCAAATCTAACGTGCTGATGTACCTGCCTTCTCGTAAACGGCTTAAAATCGCTTAGATATGTGGTAACGGATATGCATCCATGACTGTGAGCTGGTTCACTTGCCTATAACCTATACAAAATCTATAATTGTCAGAAGATTTTTGTTCCAAAACTATCTGTGAGCTGCAAGGGTTATTTGACGGCTCAACTACTCCATCTTGCAACTTCATGTCCACCTCCTCATTAATAATTTTGTGCATTGCAAGATTACGCGGATAATATTGTTGCTTTTGCGGATCCAGTCCTAGCTTTAGAACAATAGCATGCTCGATAGCATTTGCCCAGGAGAGGTTCGAAACTGACCCAGTTCCTGCGTTTCCAGAAGATCCAACCCCAGGAAAAAAAACACTCGCCATAAAAAGTATCACTTTAGCTCCTCATAATATGAGGATAATATCTTAAGTAACATTTTTTTAAAAATTAAATGTAGGGGTTGATTTTTAAATGTTGAAATACTCTGAAATAATGTCCCAAAGCGTCTATCAATCATTACTTTATTCATCTGAACCAAATTTCACTCATCTTATGTTTTAATGTACACGCTCTGCGCGTAATGACAGGAACTCCATATAGAAATGATGTAAGAACACAGTTTAACACTATGGAAATACTTACGTTGCCTTGTTTATATATATACACGTGTGTTTGTTACACGCTAAACAACAAAGAGATTATTACACATTTCAAAACCAAATACATGGATAGAGCACCAGGGGTGGTAATCTCGTGAGGAGTCAGTACCTCAGGTTGCAACGTAGTAGATACGGAGCAAATTATTATAGTCCCTGCTTTTTAAATAAACTGCCTACAGACATAACAAATCTGCCATACACGATTTATAAACACAATTTGAAAAAGTTTTTACTCAAAAAATGTATTCTTAAGCTATCGTTAGCCTTCGGCCGATTTTATGGAGTAAATTATACACGTCTGTTTGTTTGTTTATTTAACTTGTTTGTTTGTTTTCTATTTGTACTGTTTTATACATTTAGACATTAGCCTTGACATTTGTAAACAAATTTATTTTGCAAAACAAGAACAATAAATAAGAAGACTTAATTGCCGCATCTAGTGTGAAAACCGATTTCATTTTGCAACTTATACAAAGAACACTCCTGTTGACAGACTTACTATGGATACGCAAAGTTCTGTCTTTCCTAGGTAGCATAGTGGTAATGGAAAATAAGATCGCGGTTTGAGAGATTTTATTCGAAATTTTTTTCAACTATAAATTAGTCCATATCAGAATCAAATTAAAAGCAGACGTAGATTAGAACTGTAATCAATTTCCTTGAAATTCCACTTGTACTTCCTATAATATTTACAAACTGACGGAATACTTCGGGAACTCGAGCTCGAACTCAATATGTGTTTATTGACAATGTAAGTAATTTGGTATCTTATATAGAAACGTTATTGATCAATGAAGTTCCATTCCAGCAATTACATTACACTAGTTTTGGTTTGTGCACTTTAAGTATAGTAAAATTGATGATACACTCATTTTGTTGCCACATCATTTAAATAATAGCATTGGATATGTAAGAATCTTCCACACACGGTAAATTCAATTCAAGGTCCAGCTCAGCCTCAAAATCGTTATCACTAATCATAGAATGCTTTGATTACAGATATGCATAAGGTTACTAATTATCTTCGCAAAGTAACAGCGAAAATATGTGTAGCAATGACACTACTTCCAACATGGTTTGGCCCTGTCATATCTGCTGCACTATTGGTGTACATAGCGTTTTTCACCAAAATTTGGCCGTTACTCACAATATATTTGATATGGATTTATACCGTCGATAAAAACACATGCGACGAGGGAGGAAGAAGTAACACATGGTTGAGAAAGTTTTACTGCTTCCCACGGGGTCTTAATTATTTCCCTATGGAATTTATAAATGTCGCAAAAACTCCGTTGCATCCGGCAATGAACTATCTATTTTGTTGCTTTCCTCATGGAATAATGCCGTTAGGGGTTGCAGGTGCATTTCTAACCAATTACGGAGGTTTTGATGAATGTTTTCCGAATCACATACGAATCGTTACGACCTTAAGACACTTGTTCTTAATTCCATTTTATAGAGAGTACCTTTTGAGCAGTGGTCAATGTAGCGCTTCAGAAAGTTCTCTAAGCTACATCCTGGGCCACCCAGAGGGAGGCAAAATAGTGGCACTGGCGGTGGGAGGCGCAGAAGAAGCCTTTTATGCTAAATCCGGCAACTATTATGTTGTACTAAGGAATCGTAAAGGTTTCGTGAAGGTGGCACTAAAAAATGGATCACCTTTGGTTCCAGTAATTTCGTTCGGTTTAATTGACGTTTACGACCAAATATCAAATTCACATTTTAGACGATTTCAGAATTGGCTGAAGTCAATAACTGGAGTAGCGCTTGTATTTCCCATAGGCTGTGGTTTTTTTCAAGATTGGTTTGGGATACTACCAAAATCTAAACCTATAACCACACTTGGTGAGTTATATGCGTCTCGTCAAATGCAATAATTGTTACCACTTTTTAGTCGGGGATCCTATAGAAGTCGCGAGAATTGAAAATCCAACACAAGAACAGATTGAACACCTACATTCCCGTTTTGTGAAGGAACTTGTAAAATTATTTAATGACCATAAATGGTCATATATACCAAATGCTAACAATGTCCAGTTAATTATTGTGTAAGGAAAAACCTTAACAGACACTTTATTTAGTGGTTGTTATTACAAGAGTTGAAAAATAATGCGCTCCAAGCTACAGCAACAAATTGGAGTTATAAGTATAACTTAATAAGTAGACTGTCACACACGCTGCCATTGAATAATTATTACTAAACACATTTATAAAAAATCTGCCGCTTGTGTGGGAATTCCGTAGTAAAATAAAGTTTTGAATGTGGAATTTACAAAAAAAATTGCGCAGGTTAACGTTTTAATGCAGCCCCTGCAGATTTTCATGTTATCCAAATGTATGTTTAATTTCAACTGAATGGGTAAAAAAGCAGAAGATAGCTTAGTATAAAAGGTCTTAAAAACGGTAATTGTAAATCTTTGTATATTTTTATCTAGAAGTCAGTGGCGTAGAAATAATTTTCATATACACTATCTGCCAAGATAAGGATGTCTATCGTGGGAATATCGAAAACCATAGAAGATACGAGGATGGTCAAATTAGAAAAAAAACAATTAAAGAGATCATTCTTTAAAGAAAACAAGAAAATTCCGATTATTTCCGAAGATATGCCAGAAAAACGGAAATTTACCGATTTAGTTTTTATTTTTTGCTGATTTTATTTGAACAGCTACAAATAAATAAAAAATATTTTCTCAAAACTACTTTTCAACCTATACACGACAGCGTTAAGAGATTTTCAATACGTTTCGTTTAAGAGAAATCATCATCAGTTTTATTTTTATGTATGGTTCGTAAAAAAAGTACATACTGTATTGTGTAGCACTTTTTGTTACAATTACAACAATGCACGGCACACATAAAAAAAACAAAAGTTGGTTACAACACGATGGTGCAACTACACACAACGCCCTAGGTATCTAGGAAATTTCTTAAAACGGAAAATTTGTCCCAAAGGTATTCTCGCACAATACGGGCGTTGTGCGCGGTTGCATAGGTGGTTTTATGCAGCCGGCCATTTCCCCTATGCTCTCATCTCTAGAGCTCCGTACGTTCACGGAAAGAGGGGTGTTTTCAGTGCGCCGCTCGGTAATGCGGTTCACAAAGAGCTAGGATGGCACATGAGAATATCATATAGTTCTTATCCGATAGACAGTTGGAATGGTATTCACGTTAAGCATTTGTGAGGGAGTTGAACTTCTGCTTGAGAACCGCTTGCATTGACCGTGATAGTTCTGACAAGTAAAGAATGAATCTTCGGAAAAATATAATTAACGTAAGCAAAATCGAAGTGTCAGAAGCTGTATTCCTCGTAACAACTGTCAGCAAAAAGATATACTACGAACATCGGCTGCAGCTGTCATCAAAGCTGGTAGGAAGACGTTTGAGGTTGATCCTCTGGTAATATTTCAGAGACTATTGAGAGGTTCCACCCTATATAATATATATAACCTACAACATTTTTAAAGCTGGCAACTGGCAAGGGTAAAGCTGGCTGCGCCGTCTCGAGAGCACTAACGCTTCTTGCGTTTCAACGATCTTGATTTAAGCGGTCATAGAGAGAGAGCACCGTGTAGTATAAGTTTGTTGTTTTTCTTGTTATTTAATGCAGTTAGTAACCATTGCATTTCTTTATAATTTATTTGTACATTTTGTTGCATAGTTTTTAGTCTTTGTTGTTTTTGAAATTGATGGGTGCGGACATGTACTGATACTTACTGGTTAGGACTTATCCTCGAATATTGTCTACCTCCACAAAAGCATCAGGGGTGACTGAGGACCGTTGCAATGTTTAACAACCTCAATCAATACGAGATCATATCATATAATTCTAGAACTGTAACCACTATATATTAGTGGAAATATGTAATTAGGAGAAATGCTGTTTATTTCGAAATAAATAAATCACTTTTCTAGATCGGGAAATTCAGGATCTGTGCGTTTTCAAGCTGGATGACGCATTAATAAGGCAGCGACTCCCTTGAATCAAAATACCACCCAACCTAATAAAATCCCAGACACAGTTATTAATAAAGTTATTAATTTTATTCAAAATGATAAAGAAATAAAATAAAACGTGTAAACAAATATAGCAAACGAGCTCCTGGGTATGGCTATAGCATGTGCAAAATCAAATTTTGAACCTGGTGTTAACTTTGCTTTTATTCCAAGTGTATATGCATGAAATTTAATTTTTTCAATGATTAAAAAACCATGTTATCTCCGAAACAATTATCTTTATCTCTCACAAATAAAAGAAAAACCTAACAAATCAACTCGAACTGTCACATTAGGACTAACAAGCAACTTGATAACAAATTTTCTTTAAAGCAAAGCAAATCGTCCATCTTGTCATCATTCATCATCCACATCAATAATGTATATTTCATGGAAATGTAAACAATGTACTTACCCAAAAGAAAATAATGGGAAAATACAATAAAAAACAAAACAAAACAAAACGTCTAGACTATAGTTATTCACTTCACTGTTGCCCTAGAAACTCTTTCACGCTGTTTCACGGATTGCGTTAACATTTTTTTTTACATTTCGTTTAAATGTCGCGGTGATTTTGCCGTTGACCTCACCTCGACGATAACGCTAATACAAAAGGAATTCGGGCGTGTAATGGTCTCGGTGTTGCTACATTTGCTTAGCCGCGTACCAAGTTCTTGACAAAATTAGGACTGACGTAGATATCTTCTTAAAAATGAATGCTTTTTAGAACCGGAAATTCCGTAATAAGAAACAATCGGACGGATCCAATTAATACGCCCCTCAATCCAAAAATAGCAAACACCCAAATCCAGAAATACTGCAGCAATTAGATACCTTAGGAGCTTGATTTACATTCTTACCGTTTCCTCTACGTTCAAAAAGAATTAATATTAAATCTATTGTAATACGGTCAAATCTCTTACGGTACGAGAGGTTAAGAACAAGCAAAGTATAGGTGTAGTAAGTGTGAATAAGAATGAAAATTAACCTTGTTTTTAAAAAGATGGCACTAGAGCCGACTGTGTAGTAGCTGCTTTTTAAAGTTTTTTTAATTTTTTACGAGAAAAGTTACAATCCATGGTGTTTTCGTACATCCTGTATTTATTTATATTATATTCTATACACTCAAACTCAAAAGTACAGGATATATGTACGTTTTTTATGGACAATACGTTATGTTCCCATGACGTTTAATTAAGTGACGCATTCGTAATTCTAATTTTCTACAATGTTCATCTTACTTTCAGTATGGAAGTAACATTTTACGACCTTGAGAGGCACACGTATTGCAAATACTTCTCTGTGTCATAGTTACTATTACAAGCAGGTAAGTCTAGCTCAGGGTGGTTGCAAGCTTCTTAAAAATTAGGATTTTCCAATTTTAGATATGGATAATGCTACTAGCTATTTTCGCAAAGTACCTGAAAAAATATATGTAGCGATGCCGCTGTTTTCAATGTGGTTTGGGTCTGTGTTATCTGCTGCAGTACTGGTTTACGTAGCGTTTTTTACTTACGTTTGGCCGTTACTCTTAGTGTATATAGTCTGGATCTATACAATAGATAAAGACACTTGTGACCGGGGGGGAAGGAGTAACACATGGTTAAGAATATGTTACTGCTTCCCACGAGGTCTTAATTACTTTCCTATGAAATTTATAAATGTTGCAAAAGCCCCGTTGAATGCGAAGAGAAATTATCTATTTTGTTGCTTTCCTCATGGGGTGATGCCATTAGGGGTTGCAGGCGCATTTCTAACCGATTACGGAGGTTTTGATGAATGTTTTCCAAATCACATACGAAGACTTGCGACGTTGAGGCACTTTTTTTCAATCCCATTTTATAGAGAGTATCTTTTAAGTGCCGGTCAATGTAGCGCTTCGGAAAATTCGTTAAATTACATGCTGAGCTATCCTGGAGGAGGCAATATAGTGGGCTTGACGGTGGGTGGTGCTGAAGAAGCTTTGTATGCGAAACCTGGAAATTACTATGTTGTATTAAAGAAACGTAAAGGTTTTATAAGAGTGGCGCTAAGGAACGGGTCACCACTGGTACCGGTATTTTCGTTCGGTGTAATTGACATATACGATCAAATGTCAAATCCATATTTAAAGCGCCTTCAAAATTACGTGAAGTCCGTTACTGGGGTAGCGCTTATACTTCCAATAGGATGTGGATTTTTGCAAGATTGGTTTGGGATACTACCTAAATCTAGGCCCATAACGACCATTGGTGGGTATCTATCGCTTGTTGTGGTTTACATTATTAAGTTTTCTTTTCAGTTGGTGACCCCATAGAAGTATCCAGAATTGAAAATCCATCGCAAAATCAAATTGAAGACCTGCATTCACGCTTTGTGGAGCAACTTGAAAAATTATTTAATGATCATAAACACTCATACGTACGAGATGCTGACAATGTGAAGTTGATCATCGTGTAATTTGTTAGTTATATAAGCTTTAAATACCAGATCAGAACAATGTAGCATGAGCAATAAATTGCCGCGATGCGGACGATCTAAATGCAAGTACATGTAACCACCGGATGGCTGAATTGTTCCCCTTCTGTCATAAAGTGATTATTCAGCTGCAGAGGAAAGCGATGCAAACTTTTTAGGGGAGTCGATTGTGGCTGTCTGTCTGCCTATAAACACGGTAACAGGAAAACGCTTGAACTCATTCGTTTTATACCTCTGCACAGTATCACATGTTCAAGCCTATTGAAAGGGGGTTAAATCCAAAGAGCCCATAAGGTCACCCCTCTCTGCACCGTTTCTAGATTTTAAATACAAAAAAAACAGAGGAATAATTAATAGTCTATCGCGTTGAAATAACTATTTAAAATTTTAATTTCTTGTATAGTGTTAACACTCTCTATATAATATTCATATATTAAAGCACAAAGTGCAATTACGTCAACAGTATAATAACCGCCGCACTGAAATCGTTGAGTGAAGGTTAATTACTCAATACTGAAATTCAATGTGTGAAAATGTGAAAATAACACTCTTTTAGAGACTGGCTGCAGAACGTGGCGGAGAATTTGCTATGTGTTCCGTGAGATGTTCTAAAAATAAGTTCATTCGCAAGCTTCTTGGTCCTCTGACAAATGGCGCACAAACTTGCTGTAACCTTTGAATATAAAATTATATTCAAAGCTGTAACCCAGTTTGTGTACGATACTATATAGACAGATCTTATACATCAAGATTTTCTGAAATTGCTCTGATTGAAATTCTTGACAATTTTCTTTAATCAGGCCGTCCACACGGGCCACTTCAATGCACCTGGTCGTCTCCTCTCGTTCAATCTTAAATGTTCGACACCATTTCTTGACACTTGTATACACAAAACATGAGTCTCAATACATTTATTGCATTCGCGTATACAAAAATTGAATAAACCATTCATTATTTTCGAACGGATTGTTACCAAACAACAAATGCGATTGTAAAGTCAGTGTGACGTTTACACACACACAACTGTCAACACTTCGCTCTCCGACTTATTCACACTGTAGCTACTCGAAGCTGTGTGCGACAGTCGGACCCATAATCTTTGGGATGTTGCTCTAATTTGGGCAAAATCTTCAATCATTCACCAATTTGGTTGGGAAACGGAAAAAACCCATTAACTTGGTCCACATGAACAAAATGTGCTCTCTCTATCATATACTCATTTTGGTTATAAGTTGGTAGATCAAAATCTTTTTTTTGCTATAATTTCCCCGGGGAAAGCAAAATGCATTACACAATAACTAACTTATATATGTTCTCAGTGAGGGGGCGCAAATCGAACAGCGTAGCCAGGGCTAAACGTAGTTTCATTTATTTACATCGCTCGAACCTAATCGTAATGAGGTCGATAGTAGCTTCTAAAGAGTCAACAAAAAGTGTCCCATTTCCATGCATTCAGAAGAGCGCATTTTAATTTTTCACAAAGAACTAGTATCCCTTAGAAAGTTACATGTTTCAAAATGGACGTGACGTATGGATATTCCTCATATGCATCATTTTTTAATATCCCCAGATCAAAATATCAGGGGAGGTTCAAACATTTTTTCACAATTTCTTACTGTTGATTCTTTGGGTACTGTTTTCTGAGATGTAAGAATATATGTTTTCGTTTAATTTTGTTGAATGTTTGGAGAATTTGTTTTATTGGATACTGGTTTTTGTTACTTACTTGTATTAAAGTTCTTGGTTGTACTTGCGTGGTCTAACGATGTATGTATTAACCTATTGAGTTCAATCCAGTACCAATGACATGTGACATTTTCCATAAACAACTACAAATTTATTATCGTTACTGGTTGAATAATTCATAATTTCAAGGGCATGTCCGTTTGTTTTATTCAATAATTCGGTATTTTTACCAAAACTCCAGGTACATTGCTGACTGTATAATCAATTAGGTATTCTATGGAGAATGGTTAATGATTCCATGACGTTTCATGGCCGAAGTTAAATTAAAATTAGTCAGAGCACTTTTCTAAATACTATAGAAATAACTAGTATGTAATGGCGAATAATTGTAATTTACCAAATTGTTTCAACATTTCAAACCAGTGGCAAAAGTGTGAAACTACGTCTTCGTAATAAATGGCATTTTATTATATCATTGAAGTAAAAATTCAAAGATTTCGCAATCCCTGCAACCATCGTAGACATTGGAAATGATAAACGTATAACCTATAAAATATGTAAAACACAAAATAACCCTTATTCACACGAAATCACTTGACACGTAAACTCGTAGCATGCTTGTAATACTATTGCGGGAGATGTGCGAGGATTTTAGATTCGAATTAACAAAACCCTTGCGCACTGTAACGTATCGACAGTATCCGCAACTTTTCCTGAATCTACCGATTGCAGTCGAGTACGGTACAATCATCACTTGATGCGACACCGCTGTCTTCTTTTCTGCTTGACGAAACTGGTAACTTCATACCCATACAAAACATAAGCATTTCAAATGCTAAAACGAATATCTTTGTTGACTTTGTTCAGGGCGCAAGCTAAAATAGCGTCAGTTCATATTGGAAATTTATTTTATTTTAATCCATGATCTCTGTCTGTCTCTGTGCAAATACGTAGATAGTTTTGTGTCAACTTTATGCTTTCATAAATTGGTCATGTTTATTTTGTTTTTCATGCTTCAACTGGCTCTGATATGAAAATGAAAAATATTCAAAACTTCAAATGAAAAATTACATTGAATTTAGGTGTAGAGATTACTTTGTGCTTGCGCCTTCTGACCAATGTAAGTGTTTATCTGTTTCCAAAATGTTATGTTCGCAATACTGTTTCTAGTTGTAAAACTATAGGTTCTGGGGGCGATTTTGAGCACTAGTAAGTATGAAACCTCTACGCAAAAATGAGGTCTAGTTTATTTTCAATCTTCGACAATACTCTTTTCCGCACACACGCAAGATATCATTCTTTTGTTGGGAGCAGTACATTCCAGACGCATTTGTGACGGAGTGGAATTCTGTCTATAATTTGTTGACTTTTGCATTTTTTTTAAAGCGACGTTTAGGTAAAATGGATCCGTTAATGAACGTTTTGCCAAATGAAGAATTTAGTCCAGTCAAATGAGACGTAAAAATACTAAATGATTACAAAGGTCCGGTAGAAGATTTGATTTTTCCGAATTTAGTAATCATAATTGAAATAATATCATGCTCTCTTGTAATCCCTTCTCCTCTTCTTGATAGGACATAAATGATTTAACTTTTAATGCCAATAACATCCTATTCTATTTATTTTTCCCGCATTCCACAAATTGGGAAACCATAAAATATTCGGGAATAGATATGATATTGGTTCAAGTTTTGGGAGCGGATTTCTGATTCAGTAAGAAAACTTTTAAAAAATTTCTAAATCGAGCTTTTTCCGGTTGGAAGTAGGTTTTGAATATGATAATTATAAAATTATAAAATAAACCCCGAACACTAACAAATACCAAAGTAATTTACTCCCTTTTTTACGGAACGTAATTTTTAGAGGAGTCGCTCCGTTCATAGGTACCGTATTATTAATGCGAACCCAGTGAAGTACCCCCTCCTTGAAGAAACCAACGGAGCACGATGTATATATAAGGAGAAAGGCATCTTAGTTTGGCTATGCTGAACGGTTTACCTATTCGGCGATCGTTACTTTTGCCAGTGACCCTACTTCCGCGGTAAATTCATCTGTGGAAGTGTCTTCTAAAATCGCGCTCGCGCACTTTGAGGCAATTAGATGGCACTGATGTATACATTATTATAATAAGTTGGAATTATAAACCGCATTCTGCTACCTCATTCACGTTTGAAATTATGGTATTTACGGAATAAACAACATCCACTAGTGTATGGGATATTATAGACTTTTGGGACCCCTTCGGCAACGTGCAGATCTACTGCATATTAGTATTCCGCAACGAAGTTTATGAAACAACTTTAAAAAAGGACAAATATGTGGGGCATTATTCTCCGGGGGCAATATAATCCAAAGTTTGAACTGCTTATTCCATTATATGGCATAAAGATATTTACTGCTACTTACATGAGAACTAATAAAGGGCATTATAATAGCAGATTATATTACTATTAACGATAACTTGTTTGAATAATCTAAATTGTTTCGTGTTAAATAAACATGTAGGAAACTCGGAAATTGTTGCGTTCGTGTTTAGCCTGCGAAGCGAAGAGAAATGGTGCACTGTTTAGCTTATACGACAAAATCAAGTATCCAAATTTATATCTAATGACTACGCTAAAGAGCTTCATAATGTCCGATCACACCAGTCATACTACACTCTAATCCACTCAGATAAGGATTTATTAATAGTTGACATTCTAATGGAACAGTTTCGTTCGTGCGGCTGCAATTAATAATTGTCGCTGTTGTTAATTAATTATCCAGTGTGATATATCTTGCTTTGGATAGAATGTGTTATATAAGTACAGTGAAAGCTTTAATCCTTTCCAACCTTCAAGTAATGAAATCGTATATTCGTATTGGAACTTCTAAGTCGAGCTACCTTTAGCATTTACAGAACGGTCTATTATTTCATTCTATTTGATTTTTTTAAATATTTATCCGTTTAGGGGCAGGAGAGAAGAACCCTATCGCAGAGGGTACTGCGTGGGATGCGACTACACAACAGCAAGTCAGCCGCAACCCTTAACGCTAGGGTTTAGAGCAAGGTTTAGAGTGAGTGGAGTGGAAGCTTTTAACTTCCGTGTTGTGAAGGGGAATCGGGTATTCGCAATTTTTTAAAAGTTGTATTTTGTAGAAGGCCACCAAGATTGGTGAAGATCCTGGCACCGTAGTTTAAAGTTCAGGTGGTACTGTGAATTTTAACATCCTTTTTCGTGAATTTTAAGTTTCTTCTTTAGGTTCTTCAACCCGTGCCGCTCCCTCGGCAATTACGGAAACGTTCAGGTGGTTACTGCCCCTGCAATACTTCTTATTGGGTAGTTACGAAAGTGGCGCTCCTAGCTACAGCCTTTTTTGTTCCAGCAG